AGGATCCAAGGAGTATCTTTGGTGAAGCAGAATTGTTTGAAGAGGACAGTTATTCTTAATCCAGCTTCCTTTCTTAGTAATAGTAATAGAACAACTACTGTTGCTTCTTGAAGGCGGTCAGGTGTTTTAACAGCACATAATGGCTTTTATTATCAAAATAATCAGGCTGAATGACCTTTGGACTAAACTGTGGAGCTCCTTTGCATTCACATATGATATTAAATTTGATGTGTGTAACAGCCACACAAGCTAAACCTGAGTGGTCAGGAACAAATATCCAAAGGTCGTGCATTTCATGTTAAAAAGTTGTAATTGAAGCATTTGTTTTTTGAACTCAGTAGAAATCCAGTAAGTTTTAGAAGCTTTTGGAGAACTAAACAGAAAGTTAAGACAGATTCTTTGCATGATCCAAAATTAAAGAAAATTTTGCTTTTTTTATACTTACCCAATTGCACCTTATTTCTGGAATTCATTGATTCCTTTTCAGCAATTTTCTGGACTTGTAGTATTTTGGGTTGATACCACATAGTGTTTGAATTAATTTACAGAATCATGGAATCACGGAATGGTTTGGCTTGGAAGGGATCTTAAAGCTCATCCAGTTCCAGCCCCCTGCCATGGGCAGGGACACCTTCCGCTATCCCAGGTTGCTCCAAGCCCCATCCAACCTGGCCTTGGACACTTCCAGAGATGGGGCAGCCACAGCTTCTCTGGGCAACCTGTACCAGGGCCTCACCATCCTACAGGGAAGGATTTCTAGAGCCACATATTCTTTCTTAAAATGGAATTATGTGTTCTTTTAATTTAGCATGTGCCTTCTTGATATTGCATGGAATTAAATCTTGCCCTAGGAAGAGCCCAGGTAGGACTTGTGTTTCTAGTACAGCAGCTGCTCTTATTAAGTAAGAATGAAATTTAAAATGGTAAATTCTAGAAAGCAGAATGTCCTTCAAGCAGATGGTTTTTGAGAAAATTGTGTGTTGACTTTGAGACTGCTCTGACACCGAGCAGCTGATGGGGAACTGAGAGCTCACGTTATTGATCTGAAACTGGTCCCTCCATGAACTTTTCATGGGAAACTTTGCTTAAGATCAGCCTGTGGTGGGGCAAAGTCTCAGTCCTCTGGGCAGTTAATCAGAGAGTAGAGCAGACAGGATGATTGGAGTAGT